TCTAAATAGAACATAACTGTAATCAATCATGAAAGCTTTTTGTTTAGACTTTAAACCCGCTTTCTTATCCTTACGTCCTTTTTAGGACGTAATTTTTTGTTATTTGAAGCTCCACTCTGGCTTTTGCCAGGGGCCGCAATATAGGCAGGCCATAAATATGGCCAATTGCCTGAACGCGGTTTCTGGGTCCTCTCCACGGTGATCCTCATCCACATGGTGGCACTTTGTGTCATCGGGTGTTTATCGCTTGTGTGATGTCCTGGTGGGGTAGAAATTCATTCATTCATTCACTTTAAAAAGCATTAGTTGTGTGAGAGTATGTCGCGCCTACGTACGTAAGTTCGTTTGAGTATAAGCATATGCATATACATACATGTCTTTGTGTGTGAGTATGTGTATGTGTTTCGTCCTGAAATCTTAGATGTTTTTTAACTGTTACATGATTTGAGTGAATTCTTAGTCTACCGCTCGATAAGAAATGGTCGCACTACGAAACTATAATTTATTGTCTTCGTTTGTCGTTGGAAGGACATGTCAAGCGATCGCGGTCACCTGTGATTCCCACCAGATTTTCTTATGTATTGCTTTGAAATGTTGTGGTCTCGCGACGAGTCATTGTTTTATCCTAATGATTCTAGAGCAGGGGTGGGGAAAAACTACAGCCTGTGTGGCAAAAACTGGCCCACCAAGTGGTTTTTACTGGCCCACGGGGCTGGTGTAAATATATCTTCTAACAGGGTTCTTGAACTCACAAAATAGTAGAACACAAAAAAGTACGTAATATCAATATTTTATTGCGCCACAAAAATATCATGTTAGTCGGAAATCTGGGTGTTTTGTTTATAATTCGATTTTGGTTTGTTTAATCTTCTACTGGACCGCGACCTGGTTGGTTAATTCTAAATTTGGCCCTGGAAACAAAATTACCTACTCCTGCTCAATCATGTACCGGATCTGAAACAGTTCAGCTTTTTGTTTGCTTCTGGCTCGTTGTCTTTACAGTGTACTGATCGATCCGGTCTTTGATTTATGCCAAACCAGTCCAAGCAGAAAGTAATGTTTCGGCTTATGTTAGTTAGTTAGTTAGTTAGTTAGTTGGGTTATCGTCATTGCACTCCGGACATGTCCATAGGTGCTCAGATCCTCCCCTCAGTATGAACCCCAACGTCTGATGGCTAATAGTACCAGTTCTATGTTGATTAACAAGTCTTCTGACGTGTCCGGTGTGCGTCTCGTTTTTTGCTGTGCCGATCTTAATTCCCAAGTCTGCCATTCTGGCGAGTGATGTGGATTCACTGCCACCAAAGTCCTCTATCCTTCCCATTTCTCTGAGGGCATTGATAATATCAGCATGATCCATAGGCCGACCGTCGGTAGTGAGTGATAGCGGATCCAGCCAACCTGTCAGCTCTTTCATTTCCATCGACGCCTGCGTGTCCCGGAACAAAAATAAAGGTGACTCCACGCACAGTGGACTTCTGTAATGATTCAAGCCATTGTCTTCGCACTGAACCTGCCTGAACCCTCCGGATCATAGTCATTGAATCACTGAGTATACATATGCGGGTGTATTTTTGTGTTTCAAGCCAGGCAAACGCTTGCGTCACTGCCATCACCTCCATCGTCATGCTGCTGGTTGTCATGGAGAAGGCACCGTTGGCTTCTTTGACTGTTCTGCCCGCTGAGCGTGCTGTATGTATGAACCCCTTAATGCCATGCACCATATACTCAGAGTTAGGAGGGGGCTTTAAATAAAAACTTTTAAAGTGTTCCGGACATTACAATAACCATGTCATTGTCTTAAAACCTGTCAATGTTGTTGTTAAGGATGTCAAGGGTGTTAGGCATGTGACATCACGGTGCAGAGGAATAAGGTACGTCATAATGACAGTTTCAAGATGACCACCGAACCTCTGACATGCGTAAAAACAATACTGACAGAGTGCAAGACAATGCTATGATTATTGTAACATCTATCATCACAGTTTTAAGGTTTTTATTTGAAACCCTTCGCATATCAAGATAGAACCTTGACACCACAGTGACCTGGTGGGCCTTATTTCGGATGCCAAGCCAAAGTTAATGATTCCACAGCCATCGATCAACTGCTACACAGTTTATAATTAGGGACCCTATGGAAGGAGGTAGGGAGGGAGGGGTGGGGTGGGCATATAACAAGGGCACGGATACCATGAAAACAATGAATGTTGGACTTAATAAAAAATAGTAATAATAATAATATATATATATATATAAAAATCAATGTTTGTGTGTTTGTTTATGAGCTATAGACTCGGAAACTACTGAACCGATTTAGCTGAAATTTTCAGGATATGTTTGTTTTGATACCGTATGTTTACCCATCGTGGTTTGAAATTCAACCTGTCATTGTTAGAGATAGGTGACCACAATTTTTGGAAAAATCTTCGAAACTAATATTTCCATTTTTAGTGACATTTAATTATAGCCACGTTGGTAAATGCGCATGCGCCGCAGTCAGAACGCAAGACTTCCACCATTCGCTGGCGAGATACGCACAGCCAACGCCTTCTCTAATAAATAGAGTAGGCCGTGGTACAGTAAACAAGACTATCTCTATATCTGTGCAGGCAATGATTGCCACAATAACCATATTACACACGATTTCTTTTTTCTGTCTTTTCAAACAACCTTCGATGAATTGGAGAGTAGCCGATGGATTGGAAAGGGGGTGGGGCATCAAGGACTATCTCGACGTCTGCGCAGACAAAGGCTGCGACATTAACCGTGTTAAACACGTGCCATTTCTATTGTGCCGTTTTAATAATATATCTGGAATATCTGTCTATGAGAAAACAATTGCCTGCGGTTTTGAGTTGTGTTATAATCGGGACACAGTAGTAGAAAGACAAATCTCGAATTGTTTTGTTTTCTTTTCGCTGTTTCGATGAAGTCGTTGCTTGGTCGAACGGTTAGAACAATGGGCTCCTGTGCGGGAGACCAGGGTTCGAATCCGCAGCAGTTTTTTTTTAACACAGGGGCAAAATAAAATCCTCACATGCACTCTCGTGGCGACAGCACTAGCCATGTGGCCCCTAATACTATTTTAAAAAAAGGACAGGTATGTGGGTAAACCAGTTGATAATTAAATTTGACCATTTCGCATACTTATAAGTTTCATTTTTAAAATATAAATAACACCAGGTGATGATTTTCAAATCCTTCAAAGAGGGAATTAGCAGTAGTCGATAGAGGGGGGAGGGGGTAATGACTGAAACTGTTAACCTCAAAGTTCTCATTAGTTAATTTGTTTAAATGTTACTAACGCTCCCTCCGCTATTCAAATTTTTTTTGCTACTTACTTTGTTATTTACAAGTACAAGTAGATTTATTTCCGTCTCCTATAAAAATACAAACAGCTTTAGCATGTGAAAACCAAATAACGATTTTTGCTACTGTTCCATTTAAACGACCACTAATATAAAGACACAATTATATGGTGCGTAATCTTAAGTTGGAAAACAAGACTATATATCTGTGCAGAGAATGATTGCGACATTAACTATATTAGACACGTGCGATTTCTTTTGTCTTTCTTTTCCAAAAACCTTTTAACGAGGGAGAGAGTAGTAGGTGGATTTAGTGGTGGTGGGGGAGGGGGAGGGGGGGTCAAAGACTATATCTATATCTGAGCAGACAATGATTGCTACAATAACAATATTAGACACGTGCGATTTCTATTTTCTTTCTTTTCCATTTAGCCAAACTATGCCACAGCAACGCGTGGCCGGATACAGCTAGTAATACTAATAATAATAATAACAGCAATGTGACAATGATAAATAAATATAACAATATACTCGTATTTAAATTAACGTGTTATATATAAACAAAAACTTAAATAGGGCACTCCTATATATCTTGAAGGCAGGGAAGAGAGAGCCTCTTTACCGCTGAACCTCCCCCAATCCCCACCCCCTCTCCCCCAACCACCCCACAATATCTTGTGAGGGTCTCGAGGTGCCTAGGTGCAAAAGTTTCGACGCCCCTGCCGTTTAAAAGCCGTTGAAGCTTTTTTAGCCTTCCTTTTTTAACTCAGTGTTCCTCAGCTTGTTTACCCCCGTGGCCCATCACAACAAAGGAAATTGTTTTTCAGCCCACCTGACGGATTAACTAAACACGGACGGAAAAACAGTCAGAGACGTTTGAGTTATGTTTTTCTGTTTGTTATATCCAATGTCACAAATTGACAATGTTTAGCTAATGTCACACGTTGTGTCGAGGTTCAACAATCTGATATATGTGGCTGGTGCGTTATTTCTGATATACCAATCGCTACATTAACCTCCATCTGATTTCTTTGTTTGGTCTTTAATGTTGAGATGCCAGAGAAAGTCTCTTCACGCACAAATAGGAAGCCCTTTAGGATGTTTATCCTACAAACTGAAAGAGAAAAACCACATACCCTTCCTCGTTACATAAATAATCATAATTTTTCACCTGGACTTTTATGGGCCACCCCCACGGTTAACGAGTACTGCTTAAACGGTTAGTTTGACGTTAGTCTCCCCAAATAGAGTAGGTCACTTTTCATTCATAAGTTTGTTTGGCTGGTCGACTTTAATGAAGGTTACTAGTGTGTCCTGCTCTGTTGTTTGGTTTCTTCGATGTCTTGCATTTACGTTTTCATTCCGAGAAAGATAATGCTTGTCACATAGGTTGGAGCACTCTCTAGAGGAGTTGTGTTAGACCCAGTTTCTCCATGTTTTTTGGGGTGTTAAAAGCGCTGGCATGCTGAAATAAGCAACATGCGATATGGACGGCATTACGGAACACCCCCGTAACCGTGTGTGAAGGGCACGGGCTCAGTAACTACCAATCAGAAGTGAGCTAGTGTGTATATGGCCGGGGTCTGGGGGGACTAACGTCGAACTAAACTGCTCTAACTGATTGCATTGGGTCAGTTGGTGGGGGATTCAAAATAAAACCATAATTTCACCCACAGCCAGTGAACAAGTTTATCAGCGACAACCACACTCAGCCACCACCATTCCCTCGTAGGTGTAGTCGTACTTGATGTCACCGTTGTCGTCCCAGTACAGGATGGAGATGGGGTCCAGCTTGGTGGGCACGCAGCAAGCGCGGCTGGCTTGGTCTGGGTAGCTGGTGTGTACCAGAGTCTGTATGATTGCGTGCTTGGTCGGTGTCAGGTATTCGCTCATGGGCGTGTAGCATTTCCCCACACACTCAAAAGCCTGGAAAAAAAGAAGTATATAAAGAACTTATTTTTCTTTTTTTGCATAGAAAACCATGTCTATATGCTATTACTAGTTTTACCACTACTGCAACGCTACTATTACTTCTACTAGTTTTACCACTACTGCAACGATGCTATTACTTCTACTAGTTTTACCACTACTGCAACGCCACTATTACTTCTACTAGTTTTACCACTACTGCAACGCCACTATTACTTCTACTAGTTTTACCACTACTGCAACGCCACTATTACTTCTACTAGTTTTACCACTACTGCAACGCCACTATTACTTCTACTAGTTTTACCACTACTGCAACGCCACTATTACTTCTACTAGTTTTACCACTACTGCAACGCCACTATTACTTCTACTAGTTTTACCACTACTGCAACGCCGCTATTACTTCTACTAGTTTTACCACTACTGCAACGCCACTATTACTTCTACTAGTTTTACCACTACTGCAACGCCGCTATTACTTCTACTAGTTTTACCACTACTGCAACGCCGCTATTACTTCAACTAGTTTTACCACTACTGCAACGCCACTATTACTTCAACTAGTTTTACCACTACTGCAACGCCGCTATTACTTCTACTAGTTTTACCACTACTGCAACGCCACTATTACTTCTACTAGTTTTACCACTACTGAAACGCCACTATTACTTCTACTAGTTTTACCACTACTGCAACGCCGCTATTACTTCTACTAGTTTTACCACTACTGCAACGCCACTATTACTTCTACTAGTTTTACAACTACTGCAACGCCGCTATTACTTCTACTAGTTTTACCACTACTGCAACGCCACTATTACTTCTACTAGTTTTACCACTACTGCAACGCCACTATTACTTCTACTAGTTTTACCACTACTGCAACGCCACTATTACTGCAACGCCACTATTACTTCTACTAGTTTTACCACTACTGCAACGCCACTATTACTTCTACTAGTTTTACCACTACTGCAACGCCACTATTACTTCTACTAGTTTTACCACTACTGCAACGCCACTATTACTTCTACTAGTTTTACCACTACTGCAACGCCACTATTACTTCTACTAGTTTTACCACTACTGCAACGCCACTATTACTTCTACTAGTTTTACCACTACTGCAACGCCACTATTACTTCTACTAGTTTTACCACTACTGCAACGCCACTATTACTTCTACTAGTTTTACCACCACTGCAACGCCGCTATTACTTCTACTAGTTTTACCACTACTGCAACGCCACTATTACTTCAACTAGTTTTACCACTACTGCAACGCCGCTATTACTTCTACTAGTTTTACCACTACTGCAACGCCACTATTACTTCTACTAGTTTTACCACTACTGCAACGCCACTATTACTTCTACTAGTTTTACCACTACTGCAAGGCCGCTATTACTTCTACTAGTTTTACCACTACTGCAACGCCACTATTACTTCTACTAGTTTTACCACTACTGCAACGCCGCTATTACTTCTACTAGTTTTACCACTACTGCAACGCCACTATTACTTCTACTAGTTTTACCACTACTGCAACGCCACTATTACTTCTACTAGTTTTACCACTACTGCAACGCCACTATTACTGCAACGCCACTATTACTTCTACTAGTTTTACCACTACTGCAACGCCACTATTACTTCTACTAGTTTTACCACTACTGCAACGCCACTATTACTTCTACTAGTTTTACCACTACTGCAACGCCACTATTACTTCTACTAGTTTTACCACTACTGCAACGCCACTATTACTTCTACTAGTTTTACCACTACTGCAACGCCACTATTACTACAATAGTACCCATCTGAAAGTAGTGTCCTCAACTTTAACAACTGTCCAGGAAATTCATGAACGGATCAACACACATTTGTGCATATGGTCTTAGATTTTCCATGTCCTTATGATTACACAATTTACACTTGCACAGCTGGTGTTGTTTTCTTAAAGCGTCGAAATTATGTGATCTTTGTTAGGCTAATATATTGTGTACCCCTGAAAAATATGCAGTAATAGACACATATCGTGAACTTTTTGCGAGCGAGGTAACTAATAATTTTCTAGGGTCAGGAAAGGACTCAATCCTTTGTTAACTGTGCAATAAATATACATGTACAAATGTTTGTTCGTTCGTTTTTTTTTAAATAGTGTGTGCACAAAGCACGAACAACATAGCTCCAGCGACGATCACATTATTTGTTTTCCGACGATCCGATTTTGTTTTCGTTGCCGCTTTCCTGATCCTAATCCGAACAGTCTGTGGCGACAGCACCAGCCATGCCACGCATAATCCTCTGGCTTACGACTGCATTTCTATACCAGCCTAGGAAGGTGGTAAAACAGTTTTTTAGTTGTTGTAGTGCTTGTGGTGGTAGTAGTTATAGTACTGGTACTCGATGGGTGTCGGCTCTGTGGCTAAGTCGATGCGAACGCTTCGTAATGCCGGGATGCCGGGTTCGATCCCAGCTGCGGGCCATGCTCCTTACGTTGGTTTCGACAGTGGTATCAAGAAAGTCGACCGTCCAGGAAGCAATGGCAAACTACTGGACGTAAATTTGCCTAGAAAAACCACACAACAGCCAGGGGATGTTGGGGTTGGTTCTGCAACGTCCTGTAAAGGATACGAAACTAACCTAATTCGATGGGTGATGTGATATATATTACACTGGTCGAATTTACTTCTCATTACAATACCTGCTACCCATTTTAGTCTGGTGGTCACGGATGCCAAGGTCACTTTTTTTAAAAATGTGTGATGAATTTCAAATCCTTCCGAGAGGGAGACAGGAGGTAGTTATCGCAGCCTATTCTAGCTAATGACCCCCCCCCCCCCCCCCCCCCCCCCAATCCACCCCAACCCATAACCCTTTTTAATTAACCTCTGAGTTTTTTTTTTTCTTTTCGGAGCAGCTGATTGCTCCTTGTTGATTGTGGTCCGTGAAATTGGCGGCATTCCTCTGTAAAGCTACATACTTGAGCTCTCAAAGGATTTTGTGTGTGGGGTTGAAAAAGGTGGGGGGGGGGGGGGGGGGCAACGGGGGTATATCTGCTAAAAGCTGACATTTCATTGACTTATTTTAAAACTAGTTCTATGTTAGGGTCGCCAATGTCATGAAAAACTGCGGGGATTTAAGGGTTCATGCTATTAATAATTTTCTATGGGGCGGAGTAAGGTGTGGGGGGGAGGGGGTGGGGCCCCCAAGGAGTTGTAGCCTTGTTTAAGATGGCAATAATAATAATAGTTAGGCTTGTGGGTTCCGGGGAAAACAAGAATAGACCTACTGCCTCCCCAACAAGCATGTCGTAAGAGTCGACTAATTGAGGGTGTCTTTTAAGTCAGAGTGCACCTGCACGAGAGGCAAGGAATCAACAGTCTACATTAAGATAAGCCAGATGTGTAAAACGGATGTGCACGCAACACTAAGGCTCTAGTATAAGTCTAAAATCCAGAGGTAGTTGAACAATCAAAACTTTCCGGCGGAGTTTACAGCCGGTGAAGTTAATAATAATAATAATAATAATAATAATAATAATAATAATAATAATAATAATAATAATAATTAATAATAATGCGTGGAATGGCAAATAGATATAATAACATTTGAAATAATACGAAATATATAAACAAATACTGTGAAACTTCTTTATGACGAATCGCAGGGGATCAAAAAATCAACAGTTCTTGTTACAAACAAAAATTACTGCTAACCGGTCACTCAGATAAATACATCCCAGAGGGGAACAACTATTGTATCATAACCGATTGTTCTTCTTGCGTGAGACGGTGTTAACGAGGCGTTACTGTGCCTTGACACTACCTGACTTGCTCTTCTTCTTTCTTGTCTCTACTCTTGGAATGCCTCGCGGCGTCAGGGGAGGGTGAGATCTCTGGAACGGGCCCTTCTGTTCGCTTTGTATATAGTACATTTCAGTGTCTCTGATATTTCTGCTGTCCATTTCTTCGCGGTCTACCTCTGAGTCTTCTTGGGTAGTCTCCCTTTCATTCTAGTCGATTATTGGGATCTCTTCTGACTGACTGACTGACTTTCTACCCACAAGGACATCACACAAGCGATAAACACCCGATGACACAAAGTGCCACCATGCGGGTGAGGATCACCGTGGAGAGGTCCCAGAGGTCCCCTTTAGGCCATATTTATGGCCAGGCTATATTGCGGCCCCTGGCAAGAGCCAGAGTGGGGCTTCAAATAACGAAAAATGTTATCCTAAAAAAGACGGGAAGTATTATCATGAGATCTCTTCAGTTTCTACGAGCACTAAATAAGCTACTGTCCTGACCAACGACGAAGCCGTCTACCGGTCAGCCAATGGGCGACCTAGTCGCGGATGAACTGTGCCTAAAAATATAACGTCTATTTATGGTTGGGAAACCCATTTAACCACAGAGACATTTTTCGGGGCGGGAAGGAGAAGGGTGAGGAATCAGTCCCCCAGAAAGGATCGGAGGGGGGGGGAGGGCGCCTCAATAGCCCCCCCCCCCACTTTCCATATGAAAAATAGGAGAGGGCAGCAATAGCGTTAGCCCCGAGGTTTCGGCACCCCTGTTCTATGTATGAGGCAAAGACGGTTTTTCACCCACCAATGGCAGGGATTAGACTGTCGTAGGGTTTCTTTTTCATTTTATTATATGCAGTTACTGGTTTAAGAAAATATATATACGTAATTATTTTTATTATTTTTTGTTTTGTTTGAAGCGCTTCTTTTACCTCATGCTTCCCATATCACAGTGTACTCAAATCTATGTCATCATCATCATCATTACGTAGCAGGTCTATTGCAAAACGTCGCTCTCATCATGGTCTGCCCAAAGAAAACTCTGGTCTCTCGCCAGGTCTGACCAGCTCTCGTGCCTCTTGCATCACCCTGCCTAAGGTGCCACTTATATCCTGTGTCCATCTGTGTGTTGGTCGGTCCTCTCCTCCCTTTCCCGGCACCATACTTTCTGCTACTATCCCCTCCAATCCGCCGTGTCATGTAATATGGCCAAAATATTTCAGTCTTGGAGATGCTGTTTACTTGCACATTTTCCTTGATGCTCAGATATTTGAGGATGTCAGTATTTCTTTTCTTCTTGTTCTTTGGTGTTCCGAGAATCTTTCTATAAAATTTCAGCTCAAAAGCCCTTATTTTCTTCATTAATGACTGCGAGAATAGCCATGCCTTTAACCGTTTGTTGTGAATTTATGTATTCGAGATACTCGTAAATAATTAGAATTATCTTTAATTGTACGTTTAGTCGGGATTTGTTTCTGTGATATTACCAATGTGTCTTGTAAATGTGTAGATTTGATATTCACAAGGTATAAAGTTTAACTGAAAATGGACTAACATAACTTGGGACATTCCCATAAGCGCTTTATCCCTATTTGCAGCAGTAAGCGCAGAGTTCCAACTCTAGTGGTACCAATAGCAGTCTGACTATATCCGTCTCACCTTTCCCTCGATTGCTGTTCGTTGTTAAAATCGTCCAGTCACTACTCGCTTTATCATTCTTTTTAGACCGTAATGATCTATCTGTGCTTCCGCACGGTTCACCCCCCCCCCCTTCCCCAGTGCCCTTACAACATCTAGCGTGTCATGTATCAGTTCACCACCAATTTGGTCAGAATCAGCCAGTTCATTTGCCTGTTCATTTCCTAACACACCAGCATATCCTGGGGAAAACATCCAAGGGCCGCTAACTAACCCCATGCTTTGAATCAAAAAGTGAGAAGAGGATTGTCTTCCACTCTGCATTTCTTCACCAGACGATTCCTATTCAAATTATGGAAATATCCAGGACTCTTTAAAAAAAACTTGAGTGGAGAACCGTAAACCATATTCCGGGAAAGATCGTTCATTTAAAGGGACACCTTTCCACACTCTTATGCGTATTGGGTATAGGGTGTTAGAACTATATTTTATAGAGCAGTCGGCCCTCCGTGGGTAATGCGGTCAATATCACGACGGTCGCCTGTCCATTAACTATTTCTATACCAAGGAACGCACAATGTGTGATGGGCTGTTTATTATTTACATGTATTACCTATTGCATCATTTTTGATTGCACTTCGTTTGTTTAGCATGAAACTATACAGAAATGTGGCAAAAAATTTTTTTATACAGTGCACTTACGTGCTAACCTAACTATAAGGTAAATATGGTTTAGTTGTCATTACTGTCTCAGATATATTAACTGCGATACCCTGAAAGAGTAAATTTACCTGGTAACCATTTCAGGCTGGGTCGATCTGGAAGCCAAGGTTATTTTTAAAAAATCGATGCTGATTTGAACCCATGACCTTCAAACTCGCATGCGAGCGTCTAGCCGCTACGCCACAGCGGCTCCTCTTCATTATAAGTTGACTGAAATTATGTGCTATGCATATGATATAATGAAATACGCAAGGCAATGTAGACTGATCCAATACTCTCATAAGACGAGAGACCATCATGTATCAAAGTTTATTAGAAAGCGCCGCTGGAACTGCACCGGCCATGCACTCAGAATGGATGACCAGACTCCTACATCAAGCTCTTATATGGACACCGGTCAAGCACTCAGAATGGATGACCAGACTCCTACATCAAGCTCTTATATGGACACCGGTCATGCACTCAGGATGGAGAAGACCAGACTCCTACATCAAGCTCTTATATGGACACCGGTCAAGCACTCAGAATGGAGAAGACCAGACTCCTACATCAAGCTCTTATATTGACACCGGTCAAGCACTCAGAATGGAGAAGACCAGACTCCTACATCAAGCTCTTATATGGACACCGGTCAAGCACTCAGAATGGAGAAGACCAGACTCCTACATCAAGCTCTTATATGGACACCGGTCAAGCACTCAGAATGGAGAAGACCAGACTCCTACATCAAGCCCTTATATGGACACCGGTCAAGCACTCAGAATGGAGAAGACCAGACTCCTACATCAAGCCCTTATATGGACACCTGAAGGGAAAAGAAAACGGGGAAGACCACGAGAGACCCTGAGTAGAACCATCATCAGGGAAGGCTCAACCATGTGCCCAACAAACACCCACAACCTCAAACAGGTGGCAACGAACCGCCAGACATGGAGAGCTACGACCTCTGCACTATGCGCCGCACTAGGCACAAAAGAAAAGACTAACTAACTAATATATATTGTGCAATATGTTTCTGACGTAATTATATAGAAGACAAACTGACAGGCAGTCAGATTAACAGACAAGTTTTGATATGCCTAAATACTGACAGTAAACTGATGAACAGATTAACAGGCAGATATTGATATTCCTATATACTGACAGTAAACTAGTAGATAGATTAACAGGCAGATATTGATATTCCTAATACTGACAGTAAACTGATAAGCAGATTAACAAGTAGATATTGATGTGCCTATATACTGACAGTAAACTAATAGATAGATTAACAAGTAGATATTGATTTGCCTATATACTGACAGTAAACTGATAGATAGATTAACAGGTAGATATTGATATGCCTATATAATGACAGTAAACTAATAGATAGATTAACAAGTAGATATTGATATGCCTATATAATGACAGTAAACTAATAGATAGATTAACAAGTAGATATTGATATGCCTATATAATGACAGTAAACTTATAGATAGATTAACAAGTAGATATTGATATGCCTATATACTGACAGTAAACTTATAGATAGATTAACAGGTAGATATTGATATGCCTATATAATGACAGTAAACTAATAGATAGATTAACAAGTAGATATTGATATGCCTATATACTGACAGTAAACTAATAGATAGATTAACAAGTAGATATTGATATGCCTATATACTGACAGTAAACTGATAGATAGATTAACAGGTAGATATTGATATGCCTATATAATGACAGTAAACTTATAGATAGATTAACAAGTAGATATTGATGTGCCTATATACTGACAGTAAACTGATAGATAGATTAACAAGTAGATATTGATATGCCTATATACTGACTGTAAACTGATAGATAGATTAACAAGTAGATATTGATATGCCTATATAATGACAGTAAACTGATAAGCAGATTAACAAGTAGATATTGATGTGCCTATATACTGACAGTAAACTAATAGATAGATTAACAAGTAGATATTGATATGCCTATATAATGACAGTAAACTTATAGATAGATTAACAATTAGATATTGATATGCCTAAATACTGACAGTAAACTTATAGATAGATTAACAAGTAGATATTGATATGCCTATATACTGACAGTAAACTTATAGATAGATTAACAAGTAGATATTGATATGCCTATATAATGACAGTAAACTTATAGATAGATTACCAGGCAGATATTGATATGCCTATATACTGACTGTAAACTGATAGATAGATAAACAAGTAGATATTGATATGCCTATATAATGACAGTAAACTGATAAGCAGATTAACAAGTAGATATTGATGTGCCTATATACTGACAGTAAACTAATAGATAGATTAACAAGTAGATATTGATATGCCTATATAATGACAGTAAACTTATAGATAGATTAACAATTATATATTGATATGCCTAAATACTGACAGTAAACTGATAGATAGATAGATTAACAAGTAGATATTGATATGCCTATATAATGACAGTAAACTTATAGATAGATTAACAATTAGATATTGATATGCCTAAATACTGACAGTAAACTGATAGATAGATTAACAAGTAGATATTGATATGCCTATATACTGACAGTAAATTTATAGATAGATTAACAAGTAGATATTGATATGCCTATATACTGACAGTAAACTTATAGATAGATTAACAATTAGATATTGATATGCCTATATACTGACAGTAAACTTATAGATAGATTTACAAGTGGATATTGATATGCCTATCTACTGACAGTAAAATGATAGATAGATTAACAATTAGATATTGATATGCATATATACATACAGTAGACTGACTGACAGATTAACAGGCAGATATTGATATGCATATATATAGATGGGTTGTTATACCCTCCGGGTTGCAACCCCCATGGATTACAAAGAACTCATTCTGGATGGTAAGCCAACAGGACTAATCCCAGATAACCTTTGTTCAGTTATAACTGGGGCGCCCGTAATTGCTACACAAACCTGGTGTAACCTGTACTTCTATGCGGATAACGGTAGATAAGATAAAAGATCTGGTGGGCCATACCTGGTAACCTCTGGGGAAAATGATGACCTTGTCCCACTTGATAGTCTCAAAATCCACATACATTTCGTTCCTCTGACAACTGACTCTTTTCTTTTTGCTTCTCTTGTGTCGACTAATAGAACTGTCAGTATCTCGCTTGTGTCGACTAAATATGATGTTTCTCTCTCGCTTGTGTCGACTGAATATGCTGTTTCTCTCTCGCTTCAAAAGACCATTCAAATGTCTCCGATATCTAACTTTAGTGTCTCTCCGAAATCTCATTCTCCACATGTTTTCTGATATCTCAGAACTGTCGTCTTTGGCGCGTGCTGTTTTCACGGTGTTTTCTTGTAGAAATGTCATATGTTTTTGGCTTCTTTGTGCTTTCTTTTTGGTCCTTGTTCGGTGTTCTAGGGACGATTGGTGTCCGCTGGAAATGTTTACAGTTGATGGTTGAATGTCTTTAAGTGATAGGAATGTAATATTGTTATTTTGATTTTGTGTTTCGTTACCGTCTTTATCTGTGTTATATTGTTGATTAACGGTATTGGCAGAATCCTGTAGCAAAGCAAATGCTTTGCTTTGAATATTATTTGAAATATCAACGCTTGTTGCAGAGATAAATTCTACTAAACCTTGAAAGTAATGAGCACCCGATGAAGCGTTACTGTTGTTGAAATCATTCGCCTTGTTACCAAGTTGAAGATTTTCTTCTAGAAGAAAACGATGGCCCCTTTTCTTCAGTGTATCTCTTTCTTCTCTCCGATGAGGAACTTCTGTTAGTGTCTCTGACTTTCTAGAGAATATGACCAAAATTGGGCCTTTTCCGTGGTCGTTGTTCAAATTGACCATCAAATCGTTTACGTAACTACCGGAGCAATCTTGACAGCTTTCGTTGTTTTTAGAATCTGTACAATTTCCGCAAGCCAGAGTACTGATTTCTAAATCTCTCTGACCGGGAGTTGTCCAGCCTTGAACCGCTGAGGTCAAGTTAAAGCTCACCCAGGAATTGTGGACATTGGTCATTGTCTTTTCTGCGAGCAGGCGACATTCCACATCGACGAACTCGCTTTTTTCCGAGATGCTAATTTGGTAAGTCATTTTCCTTGTGGCCAGTTGATTCACCGTCGGACTTGTCTCTCGTTTGCTGTCCCGGGTGGACAAAATAGAGTCTAAGTTCTGCGTAATGGATGGTTTCGGTCCCTGATGAGATGTTTACATCAAAGACAAGCTTCTGTCTTTTTGTGGTCACTTTTTCAGACATCAAAGAGGAATCTGCGAACAATAAATATGAAATCATTACAATATTAGATGTGTCTTTCAGGTTATACCACTATGAAATATTTGCCCTAGTACATTTGTCTTACATTTATGTAAATGATTTGATAGCCAGACGAAATAAAAATAGTTTTTCCTCATTTTTTTTTTAAACAAGGTCTTGACGGTTCTTTATAAACACATTACCCTAGATGACGTCACAGGACAGTCCAACATTTTAGAGGGAGGTAAGACTTGATTTCCCGGATCTCTGATGCTTTTAACAACACCAAAACATCTAGCACTGGCCCTAACCCTAACCCACTTTTGTCCCACAAGAGAGTGCAGCATAGGTCCCACGACTGCATGCAGCCTAGGTCCCACGACTGCATGCAGCCTATCTAACATCCCCTGAAATATTAGACTGTCCCGTGACCTGTGGATTTTCCCTGTTTGGGGTAGGATATTAATGAAGCACCGTCTTGATCAATTATGACTAAAATAGTAATAGGTGAAACAGTAATCGGTACTAAATTGTGCTCTGTTAAGTGCAGATATTTTGGCGACAAATACACCCAGTTGTCCACATGTTCCAATGGCTTCAGACGGAGAAGCATATTGGGCAGTATACTAGCCTTAACCTAGGAAAAGGAAATTCAACCTTAACCGTAGGGTTGGTTGGTGGCCGGTCAAGAACATCGCTCTTCTGATCCGGCAGCTTCTACAGCTTGCTTTGTTTCAAAAGTATTAGTGCTATCTTTCCTTTAGGTTAAACAAGGCAGATATCTACAATACTGCCCGGGAGACGGTTCGTGTAAGACGATAAAACACCATCGCCGGAGGAGAAGAAAAAGTACCACCAACCTTTTTGTTGGTTTTACTTCCGTATGAATCAGTGTGTATTGCTTGTAAATACAGTAAAATCTGGCTAACACGAATTCGCTTAAGACGAACATTTGGTTAACAGGAACACAATTTGTGTCCCAGCAGATGGGTAAGGTGTGGAGGGCATTCTTCTTCTTCTTCTTTTTTTTCTTCTTCTTCTTCTTCTTCTTCTACTTCTTCTTCTTCTTCTTCCTCTTCTTCTTCTTCTTCTTCTTCTTCTTCTTCTTCTTCTTCTTCTTCTTCTTCTTCTTCTTCTTCTTCTTCTTCTTCTTCTTCTTCTTCTTCTTCTTCTTCTTCTTCTTCTTCTACTACTTCTTCTTCTTCTTCTTCTTTTTTTTCTTCTTCTTCTTCTTAGCCTTCACTGGCAGAAAACTCTGGGGGAAAGTTCTGGTTGTTCGCCTACTTCTGGACTGTGGTCTTTTTCCAGAGCTTGAGTTTTGCGTGCACATCCATTTTACAGATCTGGGTTACTTGAATGCAGACTGATGGTCCCTTGCCTCTAAGGCAGATTCGCTACGACTTCGAAGGAAACAGCCTAATTAGACGCCTTTTAAGACATGCCCTTGAAGGGGATGGGGGGGGGGGGGGTCTATTATATTTTCCATACAATTAGGCCCCAGAGCCACCACTGGGAGTGTGTATTATATTCTCCATACAATAAGCCCCAGAGCCACCACGGGGAGGGTGTATTATATTCTCCATACAATAAGCCCTAGAGCCACCACTGGGAGGGTGTATTATATTCTCCATACAATAAGCCCTAGAGCCACCACTGGGAGGGTGTATTATATTCTCCATACAATAAGCCCCAGAGCCACCACTCGGAGTGTGTATTATATTCTCCATACAATTAGGCCCCAGAGCCACCACGGGGAGGATGTATTATATTCTCCATACAATTAGGCCCCAGAGCCACCACTGGGAGTGTGTATTATATTCTCCATACAATTAGGCCCCAGAGCCACAACGGGGAGGGTGTATTATTCATAATCTATTAGTTCTTAGTCAGGACGAACTTCTTTAGCATGACTTCTTAATTTGTCCGACCCTTGGAATTCATCGATCTTTTATGGTAGATACCCTCAACATTGTCTAAGATTTGTATAAATCAGTATTTATCATGCCTTGGACGAAGACTAAAGTCAAGAAGTGGACGAACAGCCAGCATTTTCCGCCTGAGTTTACAGCTGGCGAACGCCAAAAAGAAGAAGAAGAAAACCCTCAACTATTTTTCTGACATCTCCATAAACCGTTAAACATCAAGATAACATAGAAATGGGTGCCTCGGCAGATTTTTCTGGCATTCCTGTAAATCAGCATTTGTTACCAGGTACCAGCGGCGTCCAAACCAAAAAGACGTTGTAGTGGGGTGGCGAACCTCATGGGAGCTTAATCGTAGTTTCAGTGCATAATATTAATAACAGGCTGGTGGGGTCGGTTTTTTTTTTGGGGGGGGGGAAGGGTGGGGGGAGGAGAGCTACAGTTGCAGGCTCGAACTGGCAGGTTTGCAGATTATAACTCTCCGGAAGTGCCCAGCGAGTCCAAAAGTTGATATTAAGACCCGACATAGGAGAAAACCTCCTCTCTGGTCTGCGGCAGTGACACTAGAAACGTAGTCCTGACTTTTCGTTCCCGGGCCGTACAGGGTTCAGTAGCAACGTAAGAATGGCGGATTAAGCAGCGAATGACGAACTGGTTCACTAATTTCGTGTTTTGGCAGTAGGGTCAGGAGATAGATTGTGTTAGATCTAGATTCGCATGTGCATCCTCGTGTGGAAATGTTTGACTATAGGTTGCTTTGAAGTGAATGCGAACTCTCATCTTGTTTAGCTAGAGTGACTCATGTATTGTTTTCTGCGAAGCACGCTAGTTTTATGTTCAGTAAAATAAACATTTGTTGAACGTGATTATTGTATTCCATTTGTTTGATTTAGAACTTAACTTGTAGTTCGTGCACGTGGTCTGGCTAGTTGCTGCTTATGTGTTGTGGATATTGTTTAACTCACTACTGACATATTCTTCGCCTGGGCCATGACTAGAAGAACCCTTGCCTCTCCTTTCCTTTCCTCATCCTGTTTTTGCAGTTCAGAGGGGAGCTACTTACTGTCCTAACCCAGTATCGTTCTCCTCTTCTTCCTTATCCCCCCTCCCCCGCTCCCCCCCCTCCACTTTTTTTCTCGCTTTCCGCTAGCTCAGTACTGTGCCGAATGACAAGTTAATACAATATGTTTTGAAATAACATGAAATGTATTAACATTTTTAACGCGAATCTCGATAAATGAATCAAACGGACCGCATAGATTTTAGGTCAATGTGGTGCTTAAGCAGGTTTACTGGCTTCAGCAGTGACAAGTTGCTGCTTGTGACAAAGTTAGCCGTCACATTCACCTCCATTTGTAGTCAGTAAGGATATCGTTCTGTAGCTCCTGAGTTGAGCGCATGGCGCGACAATGTGAGATAATATGTTTCATTTGAAATCCTTTTCGATTACCTCAATACGGATCGCTTAACCTCTTTACCATGGGGGGGGGGGGGGGGGGTCTTTCCCAGTACCCTTCCTTAAAATAGGGGTGTGGGAGGGGGTGACTTCAAAGAACCGGAGCCTACAGATCTGGCGCCGATGCCAGGAACTAGGAAACCAGCGATTTCCACGACGTCTGCTGGTTGGTTCCACAGAAAACTCACAGGTGAACGTCTACGTCTAAATATTTGCCGCGTCATATGAAATACGACTTCCTGGCCCGTGATAGCCCAAAATAAATAACTTGTTATGTTTGGCTATTTATTTCTTTGATAACGGCACCTCCTGGGCTAATGACGGGTCTATCGTTGTGTCAAGTGATGAATGGCGCGGAGAAGTCTTGTTTTAGAATCGTGTTTAACAATGGTAAAGTGCTACTTCCTATGAAAATTCAACATTGTGTCGTAATCTCTAATGTTGGAATGCGTTGTTTTACAGGTGTGGGGTCTCAATCTACGTGGTAATTTTAAATTCAGTGCTGTGTTAATTTTTTTTTTAATACTAAGTTGTCGTTTCGCCAGTTGGTCTGTCAGAAGCTAAAACCATACGTCGAAGATATACTGGGTGATTACCAAGCGGCATCTGGTCTCGGAAGCTGAAAATATTTTGGTCATATCAAGTGCCAATGATAGGGGGAAAAAATAGCAGAAGGCATGGTACCAGGAAGGACGGACAGGGGCCGACCAACACGAAGATGGGCACACGATATAAGTGACTTCTTGAATATAAAAGAGCACGAGGCAAGAGAGCTGGCAAGAGACCGAGTGTCTTTCATGCAGGCCGTAATGAGAGCGACGTTCTGTAAAGGACCTGCTAGATAATGATAAGTGAACAGGTTTCCGACAGAACAGATCAACAACAGATCAGATATTCATTTTACGGCAAATAGCCGTAAGGGATGTACATACAGAAGGGATGTACATACAGAAGGGATGTACATACAGAAGGGATGTACATACAGAAGGGATGTACATACAGAAGGGATGTACATACAGAAGGGATGTACATACAGAAGGGATGTACATACAGATGAGATGTACATAATGTTTTTGTGGATTTTTTAAATGTATATGATAGCGTACATAGAAACAGTGTATGGAATGCTATGAAGGACTTTGGAATACCAAAGAGGTTATTCACCATGACCAAACTATGTATGGAAGACACTTATAGTTTTGTGATACATAAT